ATGAAAGCTGAAAAAAGAGTATTTTAAAGGGATAACTAAAAAGACAAAGCAGCAGTCATTCCTTATTTAACTTACCTATCATTCCTCTGACTTCCTCCTTTGGATATCTCTTTGATTCAGATTATCTTTTCAGTTTCTTATTCTATCTTCCTCAAATATACCTTTGTATTACACAGGATCTTTTAATTCCATCATTTTTATCAACCTTGGATCTTTTGAATGCTTTTTGTTTCTCATTCTTATTTACTTCACAGAAACCATTTAAGACATGATTGAGTGAGTGTACAGTGGTTAATATTTATGGTACTGAGTTGGTTGTATTTTAAGTAGCTCATATGGATTATAAAACTGGCATGAAAAATGTAAATTTGTTTTTGTTTATAAAGTATTATATATGTATACCCATGAAAAAGAATATTTGCAAAAAAATATACCAAGTTGTTAAACAATAGAAAGTGGGGCAATGAATAAGGACAACTGAAGAAGAATTGATTCCTTTGAATTATGATATTGGCAAACAAAACCAGAAAAACCAAACTCACTGCCATTGACTTAGACCCGACTCATAGCGACACCTCCTTGGGTTTCTGAGGTGGTATCACTACGGAAGTAGATTGCCCAATCTTACTTCTGAGAAGTGGCTGGTGGGTTTGGACCACCAGCCTTCTGGTTAGCAGTCAGATGCCTTAGGCACTATGCCACCAGAGCTCCCATGATGTTGGCAAAGAATATTAAATATACCTTGGACTGCCAGGAGAACAAACAAATCTCACTTAGAAGAAGTATAGCTAGAATGCTCCTTAGAAGTGAGGATGGTGAAACTTCATCTCATGTATCTTGGTCATGTTATCATGAGCAACCAGTCCCTAGAGAGGAAGGTCATACTTGGTAAAATAGAGAGGTCAACAAAAAAGAAAACTCTCAATGAAAAAGATTGACAAAGTGGCCTCAACAGTGGCCTCAAACATGGTAATATTTATAAGGATAGTGCAGGATTGAGCAGTTTTTCATCTGTTGTACATGAGGTCACTATGATATGGAGTTGACTTGGTGCCACCTAACAAAAACAACAGTCATTTCTGGTTGGTGAAATTTCACAGGAATTTATATTTCTAATTATATGTTTCTATAGCATTTACATTTTTCCCACTTATCATGAATATATTACAAAAGTGAAAAAACATTAAAAACATGTTAAAAATACATATTTCCAATTCCAATTAATAGCATATACCAATTAAACAAAACCTGCTGCACTACTTATGCATCTATGTCAAAGGGAATTAGCTTGACCTATGCAACAGAAGAGCATATGTTATTGTGTATGTATGTGTGTGTGTGTGTGTGTGTATTATATCACATATTATGAATATGATAGCATCAAAGCCTTAGAAAATACGGTCTGACTTCTGGTAAATGGAGGAATAGGGAGACAATGACACAGACCCTCTTCAACAAGAAAAGAAAAACCAATTGACAGATATATAGAAGATAATCCTGGAGCCCTGAACTTTGAAAGGAACTATACAGAAGTGGATAGGTACTAACTAGTGGAAAAACCTGAACAAAAACAGTGAGTACAGAGACAGTCGGAGCTGCAGACTGTCAGCTACTCTGACGGGAAAAACAGAATATTTACAAGTTGTGTTGGGACCTGAGAATTGACCCAGGGATCAGCCCTGGTCACCAAGGGCTGCAGGGAAGACTGCACTGGTGGTCTATGACTAGGAAGGGAAACAGCAAGCAGGGAGACAACCTAAACTGTTAACTTTCTGCTGTCTGGAGGGTGCAGCCATTTTGATTGTTTACATGTGTCAGCCATTTTGGATATTTAAAGTGATGGGGGCACAGCCATTTTGAATGTTTATAAGCTGTGGTCATTTTGGATATTTAAAGTGACTGAGGGTGCAGCCATTTTCAATGTTTACAAGCAGTGGCCATTTTGGATATTTAAAGTGACCGAGGCCACAGCCATTTTGAGTCTTTACAAGTGACAACCATTTTGGATTTTAGGGTGATAGCATTCTCATTCATATTCCAGGAACCTAAGAATATGCTTTGTTTGCCAAGGTTGGCAGAGACATACAAGAGGCTGACAAGAGGAAAGGAGAAAGTTGGTGTGTGTATAAGTGCTGTCAACTAGTGCATAGAGGAGCACAGCACAGTACCCTGCTTGCATAGAAAACATACAAACAAAACAAAGAAAACAAAAATCATGGGCAAGTCACTCCAACATACAATCATCAATTAAATATAAACACAAAAACATCACAATGCTTCGGAGACAACAGAGCATCATCACAGTCCACAAAAAGAAGCAAGATAAAGCAGTAGAAACAAGAGACCAAGATACAGACCCAAAACACATCCTGGAGGAAGGAGAGGCAGCATTGAAACTCCCTGATAAGGAATTCAAAATAATTATACTTCTTTTATCTTCAAAGGATTGAAAGACAGACCAAGGAAAACACAGACAAAACCCTAGAACAGTTTTGAAAGACAATACAAGAACAAAATGACAAAATAAATGAAAAATTAGAAATGATACAAAATCTACA